AGCATTAATGTTTGCTTGGTTAGCTGTTCCCTGGCAAAACTCAAATTATTAACTTCCTTCTCACAACTATTATTTTGTTAAGTTTCAACTTCGTGTTAAAACTCAAAAGTAAACACTGCTTCATGAACTTAACCTAGAAGTATATAGTAGCAGGAAAACACTTTATTTCACAACCTTCCCTTCAAACACTTACTCCATTAACCACAACAGAAATACCAAAAGCTTCCTAGCAACATCACCCCTTGTCAGCCGGATGAGTTTAGTAGGACTTCAAGTGCTGAAGGGCAAAGACAGGGAGAAACCTGGTATTGGGGGAGGTGGTTAAACCAGAGAGTAGAATTAGGAAAAGTATTAACCTCTCAGGCAGCATAAATTATCATAATTTTTCACTATCTCAGGACAAGAATAAAGGTCACTTAAGCTTTTCGCTGTCTTGTCTAGGTGAACTAAGATCTATTACATGAAGAGCTTAGATGCCCTGGTCCTTCCTTATTCTCTCAAAGTGAGTTCTGAGTCCCTCCCTGTGCTTCTTTCCAAAGCACCCTTCGGATCTGTGTGCTTTGCCTTCCCTAAAGCTGCTTCTCTGTTATGTTATGTACTATGGTCTCACAGATTTTCCTAGGCTCACAGCTTTCAAAGATTCTTTTCATTGGCACATGGATTTTATAGTTTTCAATTATAGTCTAAAGATACTTCTTTTCTGGAGGTGTGGAGGGGAAGGCGCCCCAAGCTGTACTCTGGAGTCTTAGGAGGCTCTCCCAGAGTTTCCTGATCAACTCAGCTGTGGTTCAGTACAAGGCCACGGAGGAGGAGGTGCAGGGCCCTGAAGTGTCAGGTTACTCTGCTTGCGCTGGGGGCCTCCACCATCACAGCTGGTGCTTGAGAGCTTCAAGGCCTGACCAGTGATGCTCAGGGACATGGTGCCCAGGACAGAACCTGAGTCAGCAGCAGGTAAGGCATGAGTCTTACCCCTGGACTTCCTCTCCGACCCCTGGAGACATAGCTAGACACTTTCTTTTGTCTCACATATTTCAGTAGACCTTCACTTACACCCAGGTAATATCAGAGAGCCATCCAGTAGTATTTGGTTGTGTTATTTTAGTGAGCAGCAATACCACTGGCTTTCAAGTCATTTGTTTGTTTGTTTTTACTTTTTGGGTCATACTTAGTGATGCTCAGGGTTTACTCCTGGCTCGGCACTCAGGAATTACTCCTGGTGGTGCTTAGGGGACCATATGGGATGCTGGGAATCGAACCCAATTTGGCCGTGTGCAAGGCGAACGTCCTATTGCTGTACTATCGCTCTGGCCCCTCAGGTCGTTTTATACAAGAGAAAAAGAGTGTTTGATTCCAAGGACCTTCCTTCCCTTTTTCTTCATTAAGAGCACTGAATCATGGTTTTCTGAGAACGGTCTAAGCATATTCTCTGAGATACACCAGAAGGTTACAGCTCATCATCACCAGTTTTCTATGGTACGAATCATTTTTTTCTCAATGTGCCCCCACCCTACACACACACACACACACACACACACTTTTTGCCCTCCTCACTCCTTTTCCTGCAGTTTTCCCTCCCTGGGATGTCATCCCAGATTTCTGACTCCCCAGACCTCCTGCCAGCATTAAGGAAGTGCTTGCCTTGCACAGGGCCCTGCAGAAGGTGATCTAAATAGAACAAAAATGACACCCCTGCAGAGCAGATCAGGGCAGGGGCTCATCACTTATTTTCCAGTAACCAAGGTAGATATTAGGTGGGAAGTTAAAGAAAAACCCACATAACAACATGAGGTAAAATTGTTTAGAAAAAACTAACTGGTATCTACTAAAAGAAACTACACAGCAATGATTGCACTAACAGAGACTTGAAAGGTAGAAGCATCTGTCATTGAGATTTCATTCTACCTCTTTTCTCTAGTTATTTGCAAAGTTATGAAAGTAATAGAGAATATGATAAACTAATACAGAGCCATTAAAATATTTCTCAAAAAAATCCTAAAAATTGAGGTCCCATTTGATCCAGCAAAATGACTTCTGGGAATATACCCCGGGGGCCCAAAAACAACACAGCAGAAATGCCATCTGCACTTGTATGTTCATTGCAGCACTATCCACAATAGCCAGAATCTGGAAACAACCTGAGTGCCCAAGAACAGACGACTGGATAAAGAAATCATGGTGCATCTATACAATGGAATACTACATAGCTATTAGGAAAAATGGGGTCATGAAATTTGCTTATAAATGGATGGACATGGAGAGTATCATGCTGAATGAAATGAGTCAGAAGGAGAGGGACAGACATAGAATGACTGCACTCACTTGTGGGATATTAAAAAAAAAAACTTGATTGAGACTAATATCCAAGAACAGAAAAAACAAAACAAAACAGGGGCCAGGATGACTGGTCCACAGTTGGAAGCTAACCACAAGTACGTGGGGGGGGGGGGGTGCAGAGAGCAGTTCGGACAGAGAAGGAACCACTATGCCAGAGATAATTGGAAATGACCACTCTGGACAAGAACTGCATGCTGAAAGTAGGTAAAGGGGCAAATATAATAACCTTTCAGTACCTGTATTGCAAATCATAATGCACAAAAGGAGGGAAGGAAAGATGGGAGAGGAGCTAAAGGGAGAGGGGAGGGGGAGGGAGGAAGAGAGAGAGAGAGAGAGAGAGAGAGCGAGAGAGAGAGAGAGAGAGAGAGAATAAATGCCTGCCATAGAAGGAGGTGGGGGTGGGGTGTTAGGGGGAGGAAAACTGGGAACCTTGGTTGTGGGAAATATACATTGACAGAGGGATGGCAGTTAGATGGGTGTTGGACACAACCCAGGTATCCAGAAACAAGTAACTGGATAAAGGAACTATGATACATATACACAAGTGGAACACTATTTGGCTGTGAAAAAAGAAAATCATGCAATTTGTTGCTACATGGGTGTGTCTGGGAATACGCTGAGTGAAGCTAGTCAGAAGGACGTATATATATATATATATATATATATATATATATATATGTATATATAGCAGGGGAATAATAAATTCCTAAAGGCAAGAGAAATTGAGAAGCAGTCTTCAGTAGGAAGCTTAATATGGAGAAAATAGGGGGCGAGGGGAAACACTGGGACAATGGTGGCCGGAAGTGGATACTCGTTGGAGGGTATAGTGATGAAATGTCTTACAGAGAAAACAATACCATCAACAATACTGTAAATCATAGTGCACTAAATAAAATTTTTGAATTAATTTCTGTAAAAAAGAGAAAAATGTAAGCATATCTAAAGAAAAAGTTGTGGCAAGATTAATTATAATAGTAATTTCTGAGAGATGGGATTGCAGGTAGTTTTATTTTATAACAACAGCCTACTGTTTCAGCTAGCTCAATCTCGGTCTCACCAAATAACTCTGGAGAAACAAACCTCTATGACCCCCGCAAAATATCCAGGTTAAAAGGCTGTACTGGGGCCAGAGCCACTTATAGCTTCGCCACCATCACTGGATCACCACCAAATTCACTCAAAGGTCAAAAAAAAAAACCTTACATAAGCCTGCTACCCCAATGCCCCACAGTGTCACTGTCAACCAACGGTGCCCGTGATCCTTCAGCTGGGTTTCCTCTGCTATGGAAGCCTAAATTTCTCTTTGGGGTCACTTGATCACTTGACATCCCATTATTCATCAATTTGCTCGAGCAGGCACCAGTAACATCTCCATTTGTTCCTGTCATGTGCTAGTGTAGCCCAATAGCGTCTGCTCATTCTAGGAACATGAAGAGCCTCAAACCAATCGTTCAGGGTCTTGAGGAAGAAGTCTGACCATCTCGTAGGTGGGCAGTCCCATGATCTTTTGACATCCCGTGGAATCCTGTCAGTAATGGCTCTAGTCCAGCAGTTATCTCCAAATTGCATTACGTGTCCAGCCCGTCTGATTTTTGACACCTTGGCAAATGAGACAGTGTCCCTGATTCTTGACCGTCCACGTAGGTCAGAACTCCAGATTCTTTCTCTCACTTGAGTGAAATGTGATACTCCAAGCATAGCTCTTTCAATTCCTCTTTGGGAGACCCAAATAGCGTTCTCATTCTGTTTTCCTATTTGGGATGTCACTTAAATTTATATTTGTCATGTGATTTTCTTCTTAGAAAAGCAAGCTTTGTATGGCACGTCTGCTCCCTATACCATCGACTTCCTGGTTGGGAGGCCCAACAAGAACAGTTTAGGGGCTAGAGCAATAGCACAGCGGGTAGGGCATTTGCCTTGCACGGGGCTGACCCAGGTTCGATTCCCAGCATCCCATATGGTCCCCTGAGCACCGCCAGGAATAATTCCTGAGTGCAAAGCTAGGAGCAACCCCTGTGCATTGCCAGGTGTGACCCAAAATACAAACAAACAAAAATGAGACACTTTATTGACATACAACTCTTATTACTATCTTGCATCAAAGCTATTACAAACACACGTTCCTGCTTTTTTTAACATCTCTGAAACTGAATGGCATTGTATAATCAATGGCATCAGCATTTGGGAGCAGTCTTTGTCCTTACTGACACAAAATAAAGGTGTGTTGGATAAGCACTGGTGTCATATGTCTGAAGAAAAATATAAAAGGCTATTTGTTTCATTGGGGTAATGAAGAGGGCAGGCACACGAACCCAAAGTATATAAGCAATGGCAAAACAAAAACACTTGAATTAATAGATGTTTTTCATTTCTCACTGTGGTTCAATTTTGAATCAGTATTCACAGGCCATGCGAATTTTGCTCTTAAAAGGGCTAAAATATGGAAGGCACAAACAGACCATTAGGTAAATGTCCTGCTACTGACCCAGTGCAAAGCAAGCTTCATTGTTCATTACTGCAGTACACATGGTTTATAATTCAGGGAGCTGAATACAAAACAAATGCACCTAGTTAATAGTTTACCAGGCTAAAAGGGAAATGTCTTTACTCTTTTCATTTAAGGTTCACTTGTGAAACATTCTTATATTGGTTTCGGCAGAACTAACCTTAAAGGCAGATTCCAAACCACTGCAGTTAAGAAAACCTTCACAAAGAATGGTGCCAAGCCTTCGATCAAAATCCAAAATTTGAGCCTTAAATGTACTATAATCATCTTCAAATTCCTGCAAGAGTTAAAATAAAATCTGAATTTACATGAAGAATACAAGAGTGAACACAGCGAGCACAGAAGCACAGGAGTACATCTCCTTCCATTCTCAGAACGAGACGATTCGCCTCCTCCACCCCCCTAACCCCCCTAGCCCCCCACCCAGGATCCAGGAAAGAGCAGGAGACACTGCATCTGTTGAAGCAGCAACCTTGGCAGCAGTGCTGGACTCTGAAGTTTGCACAATTCCTTCCACTGCCTGGGACGCCAAGTCTCAGCATGCTGTCTTCCTCCTAACCCCAATTTATTCTGATTATAAACAAAAATGTAAAGCTTTGTGGAGAGATAGCTTTCATGATGATGTTAATGTATCTATCAATGTACACAGGAAACTTGGTTTTGGTTTTGTTTGTGGAGCATAGACCAAGCCAGAACCCTCTCTTTAGGTGTAAACTGAAATCTGCACATCTGGAAAAAAGCATGAGCAGTGATACAGCTGCAGCAAAATATGCTGACATCTCCCCCATCTTCTTATTAATGTGCCACGAACAGCCCCCAGTTTCCTCCTAATACGTAACCACCCACTCCCATAATGAGGAAGGAAATGGGGGAAGAATAACTGTTCTGTTCATGGCAATGCAATTCGCAGTCAGGAGAGAAGCACTCCCCAAAATTCAGAAACATTTCGGGCTCCCAAGCCTGAGCGCCTCACATATTTGTTTATTGCTTCCTCCATAAATGAAGCCTTCACCTATTAATAACAGTGATAACTACATTGACACCGAACAAACACATTTTCCACTCAACTCTAAACACCTCGTGTTATTAACTCAATCCCCACAATGATATTGCTATGTAGGTCATATTTTCTTTCTGTCTTACAGGTGACACAACTGCCTGCTGAGAAAGATGAAATGATTCGCTCACAGTTAACACCACTAATAAATGGAAGCACAACAATTTCAAGCCAGGAAAGGAGGCTCCAGCGCCAACACTACCCAGGAAGCTTCTCGGGGGTTGGACAGAGGGTCCAGAGGTCAAGGCACTTTCCTTGTTGCACTTGCCTAGGTTCAATCTCCAGCACCATCAGGAGTCATCCCTGAGAACTGCCTGGTATGGCTCCTAAACAAAAACAAGCTCAAACAAACAAAAAGATTCCTTGCAGGAGGAATGCACCTCAGGCTAAATGTAACACCCTGAAAAATGGGAGCAGCAAAGCACTAGCCACCTTTGTCCTCCTTTGCTGCTGTACTTGGAATCAAGAGAACATCTCTTCTCTCAACCTACAGCCAAATGGTCCCTTCCTTCAAGGGTCACTGACCGGAAGAAGTAAACACAAGCTCCTGACAAGTTGAAACAAGCCTAACTTAGCATGCATCTTGGTGTAACAACAAAGGCCGCACCCTGGAGAACATTTCACATAGAGCTCAGATCTCCCTGGAGCGGAAGCAGAAGCCTCCACGCAATGCAGAGTCTCCTAGAAACCTCTTTGCTCTCCATCACTCAGCTCAAGGTCAGAAGGGCTGAAGGTCCTCTCCTCCAGGTGTCAGGTTCACCCAGGACAGCTCTGTGCCTCTGATGTGCACACAAGGCACCTATAGATCTGCTCCTCTCTGAGAAAGTGTGGCATCTCCTTAACTCCCTTTTTATTTTAGCAAACTTTTCTCTTCATTGTCACTAAACAGCCATTATGTTGATGTGAGTTGGGCTGCGTCTGAAAGAGTATTTAGGAGCTAGAGGGCTGGTACACGAGTAAAGGCACCCATCTTCCATGCTTCTGGCCCGGGTTCAAATCTCCAGCATCACATATGGCCAGGAACAGTCCCTGAACACAGCTGGGTGTGGTCCCCCAAACCAAAACAAAACAAAAAAAGAAGTCATGAAATTTACATACAAGTGGTACGACATGGAAAGTATTGTGTTAAGCGAAATGAGTCAGAAAAGAGAGGGATAGACATAGAAAGATTGCATTCATCTGGGGAACATAAAGCAACAAGATGGAAGACCACCCAGGAGTGGCTGAGATTAGTACCAGGAATTTTGCTCCATGACTTGGAGGCCAGCCACATGTGCTAGGGGAAAAGGAAGCTCAGAGAAGAGAGCACCAAAGAAAGGGTGTTGTGAGGATCTTCCCAGGATGGGAGAAGCATGCTGAAAGTAGACTATAGACCAAACATGATTGCCACTCAATGCCTCTCTTGCAAAAGACAGGACTCAAAAGAAGAGAGAGAGAACAAGGGGGAATGCCTTGCCACAGAGGCAGGGTGGGATAGGGGGGATGGAGGGTGGGAGGGATGCTGGGACCCGTGGTGGTGGAGGATGGGCGCTGGTGGAGGGATGGGTACTTGATCATTGTATAACTGAAACCCAAGCTCCAAAATTTGTGAGTCTATAACTGTACCTCATGGTGTTTCACTAATAAAAAATTTTTTTAAAAAAGTGGTTTGATGCCTGATTTTCCCCTCTTCTAATGAAAAAGTAGTATTTTCTTTATGACAGTATCATAGAGCAAATCAGGAGAATACCAGAACACTGCAAGCTCTCCTACAAAAAAAAAATCAATGAGATAAAAGACTATGTTGAATGTCCTCCAGATGATAGCTACCTGTGGGTCCTGGACCAATCAGCTCAACTATCTCCTGGACACATCCACAAATCTCCATCTCTCCAGGCATCATCCTATCCAGATAACTATCTAGATTCCTACAAGCCGCATTGTTTGTATCTTTCTTCTGCTTTCTTCTGCTCCTTCTGACTCAATCACCAACAAACTATAAGTTTTTTAAAGGGACATGAGCAATAGTAAAACAGGTGAAGCACTTGGCCTTGCATGCAACCTACTCAATTTCATCCCCTGAACCCCATATGGCCCCCCTAGTCTGCAGGATTGATCCCTGAGTACTGAGTCAGGAGTTAAGTCCTGAGCACCACCAAGTGTGGCCCCCTCCAAAATAATCTGTCAATTTATCTATATATCACAAATTTTTCTAAACAGTAGTTTCCAGAATGAACATAATTAAAAGTGTTTTTTAAAGTTGTCTAAGACAGAAATCTTACATCACTAAGAATTTCTCAGTTCATTATCTCACTTCAGAAATCTTAATTTTTTAGGACAAAATTCACAAAATCTACAATTACCTTAATTTAGAAGACTCTAATCTGGACTCCACTCATTGCCCCAAAATGTTGCACAGCTTCACCTGTTTTTTGTGCTCCAGGATCAGCCACTGCCTTTGGCCCACTCATTCTCACGCATTCCCTGCATACTAGTTCTACAATGGAAAATGAATTCTTCTGTTTCCACCCATTCTTTGCCTCCTCCATTTTGATTTTTTTTTAGTTCTTTTTCTTGGTTCCTCTGTTCCCCTCCTCTGGGAGGTGCTCTTTGACAAATGCTCTCCAAGCACCATACTTTTACATTTTTTTTTTATTATTTTACTGAGTCACCATAATATGTAGTTACAAGCTTTCATGTTTGAGCTACAGTCACACAGTGATCAAACACCCATCCCTCCACCAGTGCACATTCCCCACCACCAATATCCCCAGTGTACCCCCTTTCCCCACCCTCCCACTGTCTCCATGGCAGACAATATTCCCCAGACTCTCTACTTTTGGGCATTATGGTTTGCAATATAGATACTGAGAGGTTATCAAGTTTGGTCCTTTATTCTCTTTCAGCACACATCTCTCATCCCAACCGATTCCTCCAAACATCATTTTCTTAGAGACCCCTTCTCTATTACAGCTGCCTTCTTCCACTCCCCCCCATCCCCCACCCCCCTCACGCCCCTGCTCATTAGGCAGGTTTTCAACTATGGAGCAATCTTCCTGGCCCACACTTTTCATACCTAGCACTGAGCACACATTTAGCTGCCTGCTGGCTTCGTCCCTGGACATGAAGCTGGGTGTGTATAACAGGCCAGGCAGGCCTGTTCTTTTGTGGTTACCATACTGATGTTGAATAGGTACTTAGCACAGAGCTATTTCTCAATAAACAGCTGATTGAAAAATGAGCAACACACTATGTGGCATTCTCTATCTTGGGGAACTACCGGCATCATTATTGACAAGCAGGAAAGAAGATTCTGGCTCCCTGCTTTTCCCTTTCTGACCCACCAGCAATGAACATGGAGGCTTGGGCCCTGACTATAAACCGGGTGTGAGTTCAGGCTTTGTATGTGGCTTTGGTGGCTTGGATGATTTAGTAAGGCACAGTTTCTTCTGTGTGTTTGCTGGACTAGACAAATTACTAGACGAATTACTGTCTACACACGTTATCTCCCCCCTTTCTTAAAAAAGAGTCAGCTTTTATTTGAATATTTTAGGTCTGTGTCTATTGGTTCCCAGTAAATTCAGCTCCAAATATGTTACATCAGGCAACAAGAAAAGTCAGGGAATTCATCACCATGTTACCTCTTGGATTCTATTTTTTACCTTTCAGGGTCATTTTACATTTTACATGACCAGGTCATTTTACACATGATGATCAGTGTTTCGGCTATACTTAGCAAAACGCCCGGAGGAAAAGCATATCCACTCTATCTTCCTGGAAGCACAAGTCTTTCAGTGCATTGTTAAGCAATGACAAACATTACTCTCACATTTAAAAATAAACAGTACATGAATTGAATGGAATAATATCCCTTTTCAAAAAATAGGCATTTCTACAGTAGTAACACAGAATGACTGCCTAAATGTGAAGTGATACCGCAAGGTATAAATGATGTATAGAGGATGCTGTTTGTACAAAGAACAGAATACAAAAGGATGTATGTGCTAGTACATTCAGTAATGAATAGCTCTGGAACTAAATTATACAGTCTAAGAAAGTCAGAATGGCAGGCGTCACTGAGAAGGAAAAATGGAAAATGAAAGGAAGATACTGAATTTATAAGGAGACTACATTTTTGTATGTCGCCCTTCCAAAACAAAGTCATATTTTTAAATTATAAACTTTATCTTAAAAAAAACAATCAGGTAAAACATATGAAAATCCTTGCGAATAGCTAATCAGGACTCTATACAGCTAAAATTAGAAAACACTACCTATAGTAATAACAAAAGAATAGTTCAATAGACTAGAACAAAGCCAGAGACTAATTATAGGAACTGGGAGTTGGGGGCAAGAAGGACAAAGCCTACTGTAGGTTAACTACTTCAAAAATATATTTCAGGTTCTGGTATCCCAACTCAGGCTAGATATCGAGGCCAGACATCCTACTGAAAACTGGAGGGCAAAGGAAAATAGTATCTTGGATATCTTCCAGCTCAGGTGCAGATTTTCCAAAAGCCCTGGAAGAAATGATTCCCTTCATTTCCATGAGGATACAGCCAGACAGTCGGAGAAAGGGACAGCAGAAAGGCTGGCTGGAGACTGAGAGCTCAGAAGGGAAGTCTCTGCCCAGTCCTGAGAACTGTGGAATCTCAGATAATTCACTTCATCTCATTTGATCATGGGGTACACATATGCTCAGGGTTACAGTGAGACTCAAACAGCAGCATGTACAGGTCTGCCAGTTCCGGTTAGGGAACTATTCCGTGATTCTAACTGAAGCTACCTCAGCCAAGGATTTTCTCTCATGCTTCGTTCCCCACCATCTGGGAAAATGCATAGAACCAAGTAAGACAGCAATCACTGCCATTACTATTGCATCTACAGTCACTGGGCTAGCAGTTAAACATAAATAAGAAAGCAAGTAGCACCCCATAATTGTCTACTCTTAAATAGTTCCTAGCACTGTCCTCTCATTGTTCATCGATTTGCTCGAGCGGGCCCAGTAACATCTCCATCGTGAGACTTTGTTGTTACTGTGTTTGGCACATCGAATACATCACGGGTAGCTTGCCAGGCTTTGCCATGCGGACCAGATACTCTCGGTAGCTTGCCGGGCTCTCCAAGAGGGGCGGAAGAATAGAACTCGGGTCAACCATGTTGGCTGCGTGTAAGGCAAATGCCCTACCGCTGCGCTATCGCTCTTAAATAGTACCATAGTTAAAGAAAATACTGAAAGAAACTTTTCCTTTTAGTATTAATAACTGAGACTCCCCAGGGGCTGGAAAGAGTATAACAAAAATTGAGCTTGCCTTCCACCCTACTGACCTAGGTTCAATCCCTGGAACCCCATATGGTCTCCCAAGGCCTGCCAAGAGTGATCCCCGAGCAGAGTGCCACGGGTTAACAATAAGCAGAGTGAGATGTTGCCCCCCAAACTAAAACAAATAAATAAATAACAATAATTAAGACCCCATAATTATCTATAACATATTTATCTATACTTGAGATAACCTCCATGTGCTATAAATGAACATCTTCAAAGACCTCTTACTATATCAATAAAAGCCTAATGCCTGGCAAATAGACTTGAGACTGATGGAACATAAATCATCCTTTCCATAAGCAGATTACTAGCAACTTGATTTACTGCAACATGTTTAAACCAATCAGAGAGAACTGAGCTCAGATAGGAAGGAGGCAGCAGGAGAGAAAGGGCAAAGGGCATGTGCTGTGTGAATACTCCTGCTTGATTTTACTGGGGTGAGTTTTTTGTTAAAATATAGTCATAAAAACTACCTACTGATGCTTTTTGTTTTGGACCACACCTTATAGGGACTCAGGGGACAATATGGGGTGCTGGGGATCAAACCCAGGTTGACTGCATGCAAGTCAAACTCTCTGCCTGCTGAACTATCACTGCCCTACCACTGATTTTATTATAAAATCTGAGCAAAAAGAATTCAGCTGAAAAATCACCAAAACAAATGGATTACTACATAAAATTACGTAATCAACCCAATGTTATGAGGAAATACTGATAGCAATAACACATTTTGGAAAATAAATGTCTTTTTTAATGCAAAAACATCAATTAAGTTTACAGTTAATTCATGTTTTGACTTCAATAAAGGAGTAAAGCCAAATAGCATCAAGATACTAATTCTGAGGCAAGAGAAGCAAGTGGGAGGATGAAGGGGAAGGTAAAAGGCACTTTGCTGATGTGGTTAACTTATGCCTGAAGATCAAAATAAATACACCTTACTCATTATATTTGCAAACCTACATGGGATTCCAAAATACATACAACATGCATATAAATATGTCAAGAACAACAAGCATTTTCCATTTCTACATGTTTGTGACCATGCAGACACAGGGACACAAATCACAAAGAACAAAAACAACCAGTGTTGAGGCTGGAGCGATAGCACAGCATTTGCCTTGCACGTGGCCAACCTGGGTTCGATTCCCAGCATCCCATATGGTCCCTGAGTATTGCCAGGAGTGATTCCTGAGTGCAAGAGCCAGGAGTAACCCCTGTGCAACGCCGGGTGTGACCCAAAAAGCAAAAACAAAACAAAACAAAACAACAAGTGTTGTCATAAAAGTAGGGAGAAAGTACCCTCATTTAATGAGACTGAGAATATAAACTGGTCCAACCTTTGAAGCAAACAACATGGACATTCCTGAAAAGTCTAAAAATGCAGCATCCAAATGATCCAGAAATTCCACTTCTGGGCATATACCCCAGTGGTTTCAAAACACTGTTCTGAAAAGATATTTGTACTCCTGTGCTCATTGCAGCCCTATTCACAATATCCCAGATCTGGAAACCACCCAAGGGTCCAAAGAACAGATGATTAGATAAAGAAACCATGACACATATCTATATAATGGTTGATCACAAGAAAAGGTGAAAATCATGCAATTTGCTGCTATGTGGATGTCACTACATGGATGAGTATAGTCAGACAGAAGAAGAGAGACAGAGACAGAATGATACGCCTCATATGTGGGATATAAAGAAACACAGCAGGGGAATAACTAAAGGCCAAAGACAACAGAATCTGAGAAGTGTTCTAGAGAACTGAGTTCCACCATGGGGTTGGGCTGGAGGGGGAGATGGGAAGGAGGATCCAGCCGCCTAATGGATAAGGCATCAGCCTCCGGAGATGGGACAGGGGACTAAGACAAGGGTGAAGCAGACACTCTGGTGGAGGGTGAGGCGCTCCAAGGCTGTGTGCATGAATGCCTATCAGGAACAGTGCTGTAAAGAATGGTGCCTAAAATGAAAAAAAAAATCAATAAAATAAAAAACAAAACCACTGGCACTGCCAAGACAGTGGCATGAATAAAACCTGCCATCTCCGATCTTGATGTCCTAAAAATCTTCCAGGTTTGAAATCAAGATTCTCCTGCTACTCAGGCACACTGTGTTCCACGGGCCTTACTCTCTCTGTTTGGGTGCTGAGAAACATTGAAGCAAAGCTCCGCCCTCATAGAACATCTGACAAGAGCCAGAGGTCTAACATGTCTTGGGGAGGCACCATCCGACCCTAGTTTCCTGCTTTTCTACATTTTGCGAAGTCACATAGTGGTCTTTCACCATTAATTCCAATCCCATAAACTGACTATAGTTCATAGGGACTAAACTGATTAATCCATTGTGTCCTTACAAAGCTAATACATGGCAACATACATTTAAGTGAATCAATTACTGGGGCTGGAGAGATAGCACAGCGGGTAGGCCGCTTGTTTGCCTTGCACGTGGCTGACCCGGGTTCGATTCCCAGCATCCCATATGATCCTCCAAGCACCGCCAGGAGTAATTCCTGAGTGCATGAGCAAGGAGTAATCCCTGAGCATCGCCCGGTGTGATCCCTGCAAAAAATAATAAATATAATAAAGGCCCTCCCGTTGATCGTCGATTTGCCCGAGTGGGCCCAGTAACGTCTCCATTGGAGACTTTGTTGTTACTGTGTCTGGCATAACGAATACTCTCGGTAGCTTGCCGGGCTCTCTGAGAGGAGCGGAGGAATCGAACTTGGGTCGGCCATGTTGGCCGCTTGTTTTTGCCTCCAAAAAAAAAGCAAAAAAAAAAAAGTGAATAAATTACTTGGCAAAATAGACACACAATACTGAATAAATTCACATTTCATGTGAAACAATGAGAATGAGAATGAAATCCTCTTCCTCTTTTTTTTCTTTGTACCCAGATTTCACTGTTCTTGACAAATCACTAAAATGAAGCTATTTTTATCCTGGATCTGCAGGTAACTTTCCGGCTACTTACATGCTGGGAGTGACAGAAAACAGAGGCAGCTCAAATCTGAAAGCTTCCTCCTCTTTCCTGAGGTTGAAAATATGAAACTATAAATAGCACTAATGAATGAGAAAAACATGAGGCCACGTGCATGTTAATAAGACATGAAACGAATAGGGTAAAACGAAATATTCAAGTGCATCCCTTACTATCTAATGATTCCGGAAAAAGGTTCAAACATACAAGTTCCATGAATACCTAATTATCAGATAAAAATGAATTAGTGTAGAATGATCCTTGTCAATATACATAAACAAGAAACAAATCCAGACTTAAGTCTGCTAGTTTATTAGATTCTGCTCCCTGGTTTACCATTTAGCAGATAAGAGAATTCAGGCAAGTCACTGAAATTCTCTCTTCCCAGAGGTTGAACTACATGAATATCATTGCGACCCAGTGCCCTTTCCTGCTTTAAAACAGCAGGAGTCTATAAAAAGAAAATGCAAAGGTATAATATAATATTACCATGTTACAGTAGTCTGATGGGTCATACGTGCTCTGCTTGAAAACCTTGCAGAGTTCTGTAAACTCTTCACTTATCTCTCGGATTTGTTCATTTAATATTGCTCCCTTGGAACCTCCAAATTCCAGTCTGTCCAGCTTTTCAAATTCCAATATGATGACAAATATATCCTTCATAAACACACAGAACAATGAAATCCTTTTATAGCTTAAGTAGTAAGAGCATCTTCAAATTTCAAAGAAAAAAAGAAAAACATTTTCAAACATTCAAACTTGGGGAGTCAATAGTCCTTGAAAAACAGAAAGCATTACTTATTCAACTGTACAAAGAAACTACTAATTTTAAGAACCAGAATTCCATTTCCACACTTGCTGAACATTACTTAACAATGCAGTCAACTCCAAATTTACCATATCTAGACATGACTCCCTAACTTTATATCCTTCTCCCCATAAGTCAGGTGCCCAGGTAATACCCAACACTCACTTTCAGCTGCCCATACTTCAGTGAATCAGCTTCCTAACTGAAAGAAAGGATATAAGACTCCAAGGAACAGGTGACACAGCTGCTCATTGTTGGTATTCAGATGTTAGGAGGAATTTAGACTGTTTAAAGAATCATGAGAATTTTCAAAACATGAAGCTCTACTCCTGAATGCAATTCAAGGGGTTGGAGCAGGGAAAGTGCTTGCCTGCACATGGTAACCTGAGTTTGATCCCTGAGCATTCCACATGGTTCCCTGAGCCTGCCAGGAGTGATCCAGAATACAGAGGCAGAAGTGAGCCCTGAGCACCACATGGTATGGGGGACAAAAAGAAAAACTGAATGCAATCCAAGAAAACTGATATCTACAACAACAAAAAATTTCACAGAAAAGGCTTATGCTTCCCCCCCCAAAAAAGTCATGTCAGTAGTTAAAACTTTAAAAAAATGAAACAAAGTCATCACAGCCAGCTGCATACAAATACATATATGAGCATACATGCATATATTCAATGTTTGACTTTTAGTGAACATGAATTTTCATGTTCTTTTTATTTATTTTTATAAATTTTTAAATATTTGACTATGTTAAATAACTGCATGGTATCTTAAATGAGCAAATAAGTTTTCAAGTTTGGAATTCCTGGGGCTGGAGTGATAGCACAGCGGGTAGGGCGTCTGCCTTGCATGCGGCCAACCCGGGTTTGATTCCCAGCATCCCATATGGTCCCCTGAGCACCGCCAGGAGTAATTCCTGACTGCAGAGCCAGGAGTAACCCCTGTACATCGCCAGGTGTGACCCACAAAAAAGAAAAAAAAACAAGTTTGGAATTCCTCAGTTAAACATTCAAGTATAAAACATCAGGCGATTTATTTATAACTTTGTTTGCACCTACCTTCCAGAAACTTAGTCAAGGTTACTTATACAAAGATTTCCTATACTCTGAACAATTAAAGTACAATTAAATGAAGAAAGGAATAAAAAACAAGCCAAATAAGAGCTTTTATTTTTATTTATTTATTTATTTAGCTTTTGGGGTCACACCCGGCGATGCACAGGGGTTACTCCTGGCTCTGCACTAAGGAGTCACCCCTGGCGGTGCTCAGGGGACCATATGGGATGCTGGGAATCGAACCCAGGTCGGCTGAGCGCAAGGCAAACGCCCCACCCGCTGTGCTATTGCTCCAGCCCCAAATGAAAGCATTTAAAGATACTTCACAGAGGGCCTGAGTGATAGTAGAGATAGGGAGTCTGCCTTGCACATGGTGGATCTGGGTTTGATCCCCAGCATCGTATATGGTCCCCCAAGCACTGCCATGAATAATTCCTGAGTGCAGAGCCAGAAGTAACCCTGAGCATTGCCAAGTGTGACCCAAAATGACAAAATTCAGAGGACTAGGGAAACGGTTCAATGGGCTGAGCACAGAATTGCATTCAGGAGCCCTGAGCTCAAATCCTGAGCACAAGCACTGGTGAGTACCTGAGCTTCACTAGGAACAACCCCCAGCACTGAGATGGAGTGGCCCCAGAGGACTAGTGGGTATGGCCCCCAAACAACAACAAACTATCTCCATAGCCCTGGCCACATGGACTTCTCATGAGAATCTGCTAGGAAACTTCCCAGGGCATAGAGAAGCTACAAGGGTCAAGGCAGCTGTGTGGCATGTGTGTGTGATGAGACTATGACCTCCATGCACACAGCCAGGCACCGGGGGGTGGGGGGGGTGGTCTGGACCTCTTCCCATCATATACCTCCGAAAATAAACGAAAAGAGGCTTTCCAGCTGCACTCAGGTATCAAAAACTGTTTCAGGAGTTAAATGAAAGTAACAAGACTTTTTTAACCTACCTATGATATGAATATTTAACCTACCTATAAAATGAGTTACAAACCAAAAAATAAATAAGGAAAGAATACCTCTATTTTCATGAAACGGTCAAGCAATTTGTCAAATGTAGAAAACACCAGATGTGACTGGAAATCCCACGGTTTCAGCTCCTCCTTTCCCACAAAACGGCCTCCCAATCCTTTTCTATAGTTGAAAAAAGAGTTTTTGAAAGTATTGAAGATGTTAATGGCCACTTGAACCTTTTCTAGGGAGTCTTCAATTTCTCCTTTCAAAAGGTCTTCAGGACAAAGGTATGCTACTGCCTGGTAGAGTTAATGAGAGGAAAAAATGATCAAAATATGTTCAATAATTTTTATGGAAAATGACTCACTCAGGAAACCCTTTTGTGCCTCCCAAAGAATCATTTTAAAATGATAATATCTAGAAAAGGGTAAGCAATCCTAAACTAGTTCCAGAAATTTAGGTACTTCATTTCAAGAACATCCTTAAATACAGTAAAACAATCTACTAAGAAGCTATAATTTCTGGACTCATTCATTTTTACAATAACTGGATTTTTGCTAAGCTTCACAGATCACAGTTTGTATAAATATTCTTGAACAATTATTTTTTTCCTGTTAAAGAAACACAGATAGGGGTTGGAGTGACAGCACAGTGGGTAGGGCATTTGCCTTGCACACGGCCGATCCAGGTTTGATTCCCAGCATCCCATATGATCCCCTGAGCACTGCCAGGGTAATTCCTGAGTGCAGAGCCAGGAGTAACTATGTGCATCGCTGGGTATGACCCAAAAAGCAAAAAAAAAAAAAAAAAAAAAAAAGAAAGAAAGAAGCAAAGAAAGAAAGAAAAAAGCAAAGAAAGAAAGAAACAAAGAAAGACACAGACACACAGATAGAAGGAAATCTATTAGTCTATCAATCACCCATAGCACAGCGGTAGGGCGTTCGCCTTACAAGCGGCCAACATGGCCGACCTGAGTTCAATACCTCCGCCCCTCTCGGAGAGCCCGGCAAGCTACCAAGAGTATTTGATATGCCAAACACAGTAACAACAAAGTCTCCAATGGAGACGTTACTGGACCCGCTTGAGCAAATCGACGATCAACGGGAGGGCCTTTATCTTTACCTTTTATCAATCACCCACGAGGACATCAACATGGGGAGAAACTGCTTCCAAAGTGAAAAAGGGGTTGGTGACTATGACTGGAATGCCAAGAAGACAAATGAATAAAACAGGACCAAGAGATAGTCCAGCAGAGAAGGTACTTGCCAACCCAGGTTTAATTTTCAGCACCAAATACAACCCCCTACACTGTCAGGAGTGCTCCCTGCGTGCAGAGCCAGGAGTAAGCTCTGAGCACCACCACATGTTGCCTCTTCCCCACAAAAACACAAACCAGAAAGAATAAAGCAATCAAGAACAGTAGCAGATGGTGGAGACCTTGATAACACAGGATCCATCTAAAAGGTCACCGTAAGCCATAACAGATGAAATTATTTACAATTGGCATTAATATACTCCATGTTACATTTGAATTAAAAAGCCTGCTATTTAAAAATATGGGTTATTACCTCATGTATATTACTCTAACCACTCACAAGTTTGATCAAGTTGGGAAAGGCATTTCTCTTCTCTTGATTTCAGGGTTGTGCTTGTATTTTTTTTTTTCCATGACTGAGGATACATTTTATTGTATTTCTATTTTATTTTTTGATTTTCAGGCCACACTCTGCAGTATTTCTGTGTGTGTGTGTGTGTGTGTGTGTGTGTGTGTGTGTGACTGGTGTGTTCCTGGATCTTTCAGGCCACAATGGGCAGTATTTCAGTGTGTGTGTGTGTGTGTGTGTGTGTGTGTGTCTGGTATGATCCTGGATTCCCTGCATGCAAAGCATGTATTCCAGCTTTTTGAGCTATCTCCCCAGACTCCCCAGACTTCTTTGTTTTTAAACAAAAAAACATACCTATCAAAGATTTTTTCAATCGTCCTGATAAAATCTGTTTTATTAATGTATATTTCTTCATGTCCAGAAACTCCTACTGAATAGAATTTGGGTAGATTCTTCCCAAATCCACATGATTTGCAGCTCTAACATCAGGTTTTCATATATACCAAAATGAGCAAAATAATTAAGGCACAGGTACACTTTCTATTACTAAAGGATATCAAACACAGCCATGAGGTACTGATGGTATATAAGCGGAGTCTACCATGAAAAGTATTCCAAGTCTTCAGATTGTTTGCATTTTATTTCATATTTATTTTTATTTGGGGCCATATTAGCTTACTCAGGGCTTACTCCTGGTTCTGAGCTCAGGGATCACTCCTGGTTCTGGGCTTGGGGGACCATATGGGGTGCAGGAGATCTAACTAGGTTGGCAGCATGTGAGGTAAACGCCTTACCTGCTGTACAATAGCTCTGGTCCCTTGTTTGTATTTTAAAATGGCTCTACTAAGAGTATCTGTGACAGTGTTACTATGAGGATTGCATTCGTGGGTTTTGTAAAAGGCTTAGAAAAAATTCTGGCAAATATTGTACTATCTTTTTAAAAACTATTGAAGTGTTTGTTACATATAAAAAACAAATAAAATTAGCCAACAACCAGTAGGGAGGAATGTAGCTCTTTAGAAAACCCAGATAAGAAAGTTGGGCTAACTGCTGATTTTTAATTCCTGACATGGTGGAGCAGATTTACTACAGAGAAACTTGGAGAGCTGGGGATGTGGTTCAAGTGGTTGAGCATATGCCTTGTGTGGGGCGTGGAGGATGGGGGTGGGCCTTGGAAAGCCCCCAAGCACTATCAGGTGTGGTCCTGGTGGCCCCAACACATAACAAAAAATAAGTCCACTTGGAGAGTCAAGGAAATCATGTCAAAAGAACCTTTAGACTGCAGCCAGGAATAGTAGCTATGGAACTTAAGATGCTACATTATTTCTTAGGGAACTTGACCAATTCTAGCTACTGACATGTAGAAGGAGCAGAAATAATAGGTTTATGGTCTTGGTGATAGTCGGGATTTCTAAGGCCTGCCCCGAACAATGGATGTCCACCTCGGGGATTTATACACTGCACAGCAGCTATGATTAATCCCAAATGAGATGAAAATCCCCGAATGGGGTTGGAAAAAATGATTATGGACACTGAAGGCTGTAGGAATCACGGTCTTTTAGTAAAGATCAAGCCAGTGGTGCCCAGTACACCTCATGGAATTCGACTGAGTTTGCAGATCAAAGAATACTGAAGAAAGAAGCCTGCAGTGATGATGAAATATAATATTGGCCGGTGATGCCCTGTCATCAGCTACTAGTAGCCTGTGAGTGAATAGTTTGCATTTTCAACCTCTATTAAATGTGTAGTATAGGAGCTGGAGCAATAGCACAGCAGGTAGGGCGTTTGCCTTACATATGGCCAACCTGGGTTCAATTCCCAGCATCCCATATGGTCCCCCAATTCCTGACATGGTAGAGCAGATTTACTACAAATCTGGAGTAATTTTCCAAGAGTAATTCCTGAGTGTATGAGCCAGGAGTAACCCCTGTGCATCACTTGGGTGGGACCCAAAAAGCCAAAAAAAAAATGTGTATTATATGCACACATTGGGCATCTGATATAGGATATCCTCTGATTCTGACAATAATCCATGGACTAAGCTGCATCTGCATTTGCAGAAGACACTCAAAGAAGGAACTGGACATCCTTAAGAGGTTCAATTAGTCTTGAATCCAGGGTGATGTGTGTTCTGACCGTAGCACATCACTTTACCTAGACATAAGGAGGGAAGGGAAGGAAGCGAGAGGATCTCATAGTCCAGAAATCACAAAACAAGAACTTTTCAGATTTCCCACTAAATTCTCAGGGAAACTGAGCAAATAATGTCATCTATCAAACATCAGTTAATTCATATGAAAACACATCAGGAATTAGATTTGACCACTATTCCCCCAACCAGTTTCTTCTACAATACTGTTCTCTTTGTTGCTTATAACAGAAAGGGTTTTTTTGTGTGTGGGTGGTGGGGGTAGCAGGGAATCTAAGGCATCAGGAGCTCCAGATAGGTATTAGCATGGCCGACCCCAGTTCGATTCCTCCGCCCCTCTCGGAGAGCCCGGAAAGCTACCGAGAGTATTCGATATGCCAGACACAGTAACAACAAAGTCTCCAATGGAGACGTTACTGGGCCCGCTCGAGCAAATCGACGATCAACGGGAGGGCCTTTACCTTTACCTTACTTTACTTTCTAAAATTCTTCCACCAGTATTCCGGTGGAAACCACAGGGAAAGCTACAAAAAAAAAAAAACCCACAAAATACTAGCTCTATTGGACTTTACCAGAAGGTAGGACATTAAACAGACAAAATCCAATAACCACTTGTACTTTGAATATACCTGATTTATTTCCAGAACTCTTTTGCCATCAGAATAAAAAGTCATCTACCTTTCTTACCATAAAAGTCATTCCTGATTAAAAAAAGAAAAGCGGAAATGGTGCTCTGACTATATACTGGATTTATTCTTTACTGGTCTAATAAAATCCTACCACAAGGTAATGGTTTGTACTGTTTCTGTGCTTTTAATGCTACTTACCTGGTCAATGAAGAGATTACAAAACTCTTGCAATAGAACTATAATCCGAGCAGGGGTATTATAGAACTTGGAATGGCTCCAGATCAGACAGATGGTATGAAGTAGCGGAGTGATCAATACCCGAGTCTGTGGGAATTCCACCTCCTGGAGACTCTGGATGTGTCTTCTCAGAGGTCTCAGGTGAAGTTCTACATCTTGGGCTTCCAAGAGAGCTGCAAGGGGAAAAAAGAAAACCATTAATATAGCATGCAGTCTTGTTTTCCTAACTTCACTTTACACCTTCAAGTGAACAATGCAAAACAACAGAGCTGCACTTCAGTTTTGATTTCTATCATTTATCCTACAACTAACACTTTGGTGAGATTCACTACAACCATTCAGGAGAACCTGTGAATAGTTTGTGGGGGGTGAGCAGGGGGAGGAGGGAGGAATATCTTTACATGACAAAGAATTCGACTCAATTCCAAGGAAACTGGGACTAAAAGGTACCCTTAAAGTCCTTGTCACTTTACTGTTTGGATTATAGGCTTCACCATTAGAATGCTAATTTTTCCCAAATTTGAGGTACTACCAGAATTTCATCATTTATTGTCTCATTCCACTCTCTTGGGAGTAACTCAAACATTTTCATGCTATTGTTTGTTTGTTTGTTTGTTTGGGGTCACACTGAGGCTGCTCAGAAGTTCTTCCTGGCTCTGCACTCAGGAATCATTCCTGGTGGTGCTCAGGAGATAGAGATGCCAGAAATCAAACCCAGGTCAGCCACATACAAGACAAGCAACGTACCTGTTGTACTATTGCTCCCACAGTAGTATTTTTTAATTAAGATATAACCATTATAATTAAGCACGGAAGATGAAAACATTCTGGAACTATATTTCAGTGAATATACAATCTGTATGAAAGTGTATCAAATGACAGTCAACTATATACATTATCAACACGGTTACTTAGGGGTTGGAGTGATAGTACAGCCAATAGGGCTCTTGCCTTGCATGTGTGAGGGACAGGCCCAAAATGGACCACCACCAGAATTAATTTAGCTTAGCTTAATAGGAACCTGCATTGCAAAATAACTGTTTTTTTCAAGGAACAGGTCTAGATAAGCTTTTTCAGATCTGCTTTACAGGAGCCTGCACTGCAAAATAACTGGTTTTTCTGCCCCTGAGCAAGGAATTCAGATACAGGTACTTGAAGGGTGGGGGTCAGACCAGATAACCGGATGTCTCTCACAAGACCTATGCTGCAAGACCCAAGACTGCCCTAAACACCAGGACTTTCCTAAGCACTGACGCAAATGCTGATCTTTAAACTCTAGGCTAAGAAGTGATGTACCCTTAATTGGATTGGTTAGGAAAGTATCTTTTATTACAAATCTATTGGCTATGAAATGTGCACGCTCTGCTGTAACGGTCAGTGAAGGCCTATATAAGAACTCCTTTGAAGAAGTTCAGGGTCTTTACCCAACCTGCCAGACCTGCGTGTCTGTGTAGGCTGTGGGAGCCTGGCTAGCCAGTCTTACAATAAACCCTGCTTGCTGTTTGCAGTCTCTTGAGTCTCTTAGTCATTGAAGGGAGATTTCGATATGCACCCTAACACATGCAGCAGACAGAGTTTAATCTCTAGAACCTTGGGTGGTCCCTGGAGTAATCCCTGAGCACAGAGCCAGGAGTAAGTCCCGAGCACCTCCGGGTACGTCACCCCTGCATGTTTCCTCCCACCCCACATTGCACACACAAAACCACTTTAATGTTCAGCCGTGTTAGTAAGTACTTAATGTACACCAAAAAAAAAGGTTAAGTGTAATTGGGGAATAAAGTACCGATGATTAGAGTGATTTTATTATTAGACAAGCTAAGCACAGTCATCTCAGGAATATGCAGGGGCCAGAATGGGAGGAGATGGGTTCCAAGGCCCGGAACAAAAGGCTTACCATTTTTCACAGCCATGAGAATGTCCTTCAGAGTTGGAAAATAGCTGCTTTGCTTTGTTTTC